ACAGTACTATGAACTAAAAGATTCAGATATTGATAAAATCTTGGAGGAGATCATTGATGAATTCATCAAAGAAGCTTATGTTATGATTATTCATGAGAATTTATCCAAAGATGATGCTGACCAAGTTGATGAAAAGTGGTAAGGCATAAAGCATAGTATTTTTGTTTGTATAAGTTGCTTGTTAACTATAATATTTGAATGTTAATTTGAATAGAAACTATTTAATTTTGTTCGTATATTATTTTGATAGGTGAAGAGTTTAATTAGGGAGAAAATGCACCAATCTTAGCAAGATGGATTGAGCAAAGAAGCAGCACAGGAAGAAGGTACGAAAAAAGGAACAAGGGCCATTGGTCAAAAAGGATTCGTGTACGGATGCAGATCCTAGGTAATCAGTGCATAGATCCCTGATGACTAATACTGGTTGTGCATTTGATTTTCACACTAGAGTTTCTCTGATCTCAATCAATTTTTGACAACTGGTGCTAGACATTGGACCAGTCATTGGGCTGGTCTTCATCAGAAAGTGACATGAAATGATTTTTCAACTCCAATAAGCCTAATCCTACTATATTTGGGATACACCTTTAAGAAACTATAAATAGAGATATTCTAGGTCATTTTGAGGGTGGGAAACATATTATACTAGCATTAGTTCATCACATACAACTCATTCTCGGGAGATCAAGAATGGGATCAAAGCATGGAATCAAAGAGAGTTCAAGACGGAGATTGGGGCAGGGAAAATGGAGAAGTTTTCTTTACTTTTACCTTCATACATGTATTTTACTCGTTCAATTCTTGGTTTTTACAATGAATATGTTAAACTAATTCCATTCTAGGGTTAGGATTTTGTGAATGAGTTTTGATTATTTATCTAAGTTTAATTCTTTATTTTTGCCTTAATTTAATTATATGTTTGTGTTTGGCTACCATAGACATGCTTTTAGAGTTTGTATTGAACTAAAAAGGGATACACAATCATCCTCTAGATAAACATACTTAGCCTAATTATGAGAGTAGGTAAGTGTTTGCATGACGTAGTCAAATCACCTAAGATCTTAAAGGATTTGATTAAATATTTATGATCTTGAGAGAGACGTGAGATTTAGTTAAACACAATTTAAATGTATCGAGAAATAATCTAAAATACATTTGTGTGATATATTCTTAGGATTTAATAAATTAGTTGGATAACTAATTCAAATTCTAGATCAAAATTTGAAATCATAGTGTCTTACCAATAATTTTCTCAGCAATTATTTTATTTAACATGATTACATATTTTTCTCCTTAATTGGTGATTTAAATCCTTTGAATTTAACTTTAGATATTTGCTAGAATAATTAAAGTAGAAAATTAACTCACTCCTGTAGATTTAACCCCTGAAAGACTCTAGATGATTTTATTACTACAATCGACTCTATGCACTTGTAGGAATTTGTCGATCAAAAAGCCATACAAAAATTATCATGATTGTTTTATGTCTCTCATAACAATCATCTTGTGTGTTATAAACTTCTTATTCAGGTTTGTCTACTATGTATAGGAGTTTCACTTTTAAATTTCAAAGCAGTCATTTGGTTATGTCAAGGAATTTATTGCTAATTTTGAAGTTTGGTTTAATAAACTGAAAGACGTTGTTTATTGCATAACAAATGACTAGCTTGTAGACATTTTTACGAAGACATTGTCTAAAATAAGGTTTGAATACTTAAGAAGACATTTGAGGATCTACAACAAAAGTGGCAAGGAGTGTTGAGATATGCCAACTTGTATAGATTTTTCTAGATTCATTTAGTACTAGAATAATTTAGTTAATTATTGAATAAATGTAGTTGTTGGGATATTTATTAATATAATATCATTTTCAGCTGTAAACAAATATTTTTTTAAAGATTTGTTAAGTAGAAGATTATGTTAATTTGTTAGCAAGTAGTTTTGTTGAGATTTTTTTATGAAAATTTGCTAGTTAAAACTTATATTGCTAGTAAACACTGTAAATAATGAATTGATACATGAATAACCTAAGTTTATTTTCAGCCCATAATACAAGGTTTTTGTGGGCTTTTTTATTTGGCAATACTAAGTGTTATTTAGTAGTTTATGCTTTAAAACCAACAATGTCTTTTATTCTAGTAGGAACCAACGTACAAGAATTCAATGAGACAAGTTGACAGAGACTCTAAGTGAAAATGGAAGAGATAAGACCCCAATACAAGTGAAATTGGCAAAATAGGAATGATATATTCTATTTATTAACTATTACAGTGCTGCTAGCCAGATTTCTAGTGGAAAAAGCTATTCATATGAATTCACGAAATGAAATTCCAGTGATGCCCTTACACTTTTAAATTATTGTGAAATAACATTAACTGTTATTGTTGTTGGAGTTCAAGAAGGTTTACCTTGACTGTGACATTAAGTCTTGCATTTGCAATGAAGAAATTGTTGGATGACAAGACAATAGTGACACATTTTTCTACATGTGAGACAATGGGTTTTGCTACTTGCATCTCCATGGATAAAATTGCTTACTAATAACAAACCATATGGTTGTTAATAAGATGTGGACATTTGGTAAAGATAAAGAGATACAAACTAATGGATCGATAGATGCTATCAACTCAGGTATATTTGGACGTTTGGTAAAGAAAAGGAGATACAAACTAATGAACAGATAGGTGCTATCAACTCAGGTATATCTAGGAATGCTTTAAGCATTAAGTATTCTATTGCAGGTAATATTTCATAATATAAACTCGAGTGTATTTGGACATTTGGAAAAGATAAAAGAGATACAAACCAATGGACGGATAGAATAGAAAGCAATCTATAAAAAATAAGAGATAAAAATAAGTGCTAAGATGGTAAGATATAAAAAAACGAAAGCAATCTATAAAAATAGGTGCCGGAATGGTAAGAGATAAGAATAGAAAGCAATCTATCTTGGGTACACCCATCAAATCAACAATATGATTATGGTTGGCCGGTGATAGGACGCAATTTTGTCATTAATTTTACAATTCTTTCCCTCTTATTATCTTACCAATGTGCGTTAATTGGCAAATTCTATTCACTTTTGAGAATTTGTGCTAATCGCGGGGAGTTGGAACAAAGAGTGGTAAAAAGGTGCAAATTCCTTACTATATTTGCTATTTGGTGCGGTCGCGTTATACTCAAGACTTAGCGTGTCCAGGAAACTCGGGAATGATGTGTCATATCCAGCTGACAATTGGAAGTGCAATGTGGGGCCGCAAATATTTCATCAGTTAATTGTTTGATTTCAATTGACAATAGTAGTTTATCAAGAATAGAAAAGTTACCAATTAGTAGATTTCCTTTCTTTTTGGTTGTGGCTGATTAGTCATAGGAAGAAGTCAATTGAGACTAGGTCTCTTGACTTATCTTTTGTTTTCTTAGGAAAGGTCGGCCACAACAAGGAGGAGACAGACTTGCTTTTGCTTTTCTTTCTTCCATCGCATACTACTCTCTTGATCCATTGAAGGATGCCTCAGATTAATTTTATAATTTCACATCAGGTTATTTCAGCAGAGATGAACTAAATCTCTTTTTCTAGTCAAGGAACAACAGAGGATTTGGTTCAACTTAAATTGTGAGATCGAACTTATTTTACTTTTTCCTATTAGTTTCTAGTATTTGTATATTTCCTACTTTATGTTCTTATAGTTATTGTATTATTCAATTATCTTAGGTCCGAATTTTAGACTAATTCGATAATTTGAAACCAATTAGAGTAATTAAATTCGTAATTATTTAGTTATTCGAAATTAGTGGTAACTGGTATGATTGGATTTGTGTCTGAGAAACATACGAGCTAATTTGAAGCAACCTTCGTAGCGTGTTGTTTGGTTAGAACAGGATTTATCTAATTCTTAAAATAATTGAAAAATTGAACTCTAAGGTCGTACCTAAAATTATTTCGCAATTAGGGTAATAGCTAACGGTCGAACCTTGGCTATCGATAATTTAAGAAGAAATTGACTGTCATTGCTTTTTTCGTAGTTATAACTTGTTTATCAATTTATAAGTGGAATTATTCTTGTATCAATGATAAATTAGGACAACCATTTTTGAAGTTATTTCTTGGCTTGAGTTTGTCCACTATTATTTGAGTATTAACAATTTGCTATTTAACTTTTGATTATTTACTATATTCAAGTAGTACAGTTTATTGTCATTTTTATAAAATTTCCCATATCTTGAACTCTAAAAGAAACTAAGTTCTTCCAATCCTTGTGAATTAGACCCTACTTACTACTAGATACAGAATTTGTATTGTATTTGAACAGGTATTTATTATTGTACAGACTAAATAACCTATTAATTTTTTACGCCGTTGCCGAGGACTAGCGTTATTTAATTAGTCTATTTTTGAATTCATTTTATTTTTAATTTTCTGGCTTTTTTTTATTTATGCCTTGCTCTTCTCGTACAGACGAATTAATTTTCGATCTTGAAATAGAGAAGATTGTGCGTAGAATAAGGAAGGAAACCAGACAACAAAGAAAGGAACAGTAAGTCGCTGCATCTTAGAGGCACAATCCAAAAGTTGAACCAACAAACTCTTTCGGTGATTTCAATCAAGAAGATGCAGCCATGGCAAATGTACTAACATTAAAGGAGTTGGATGCCCCTGATCTAAATCCCATTATGCATTACTTTCCCAAATTTAAATGATAATACACCTTTTGAGTTAAAATTTGGTTTAATTCATCTTTTACTCTCTTTTCATGGTCTTCCAGGTGAGGAGTCTCACAAGCACTTGCAAGAGTTTGATGTAGTGTACACAAGTATAAAACTTCCAGGGATTAATGAAAAATAGATAAAGATGAGAGCATTCCCTTTCTCTCTCAAGGATTCTGCCAAGAATTGATTTTTATCTACCACTGGGTAGTATCATAACTTGGAAGTAGTTGAAGAAGAAATTTTTGAAAAGAAGAAATTTTTGAAAAAATTTTCCTGCATCTAGAGCTGCCAGTCTGAGAAAAGAGATATGTGGCATTAAACAGCACCCTTAAAAGTCTCTTTATGACTATTGGGAGTGATTCAAGAAGTTGTGCATCAAATACTCTCAGCACCAAATAAGTGAGCAGTTGCTAAATCAATACTTCTACGAGGGTTTACTTTCCCAAGATAGGAGCATTATTGATACTTCAAGTGGAGGGGAATTAGTCAACAAAACCCCAGAGAAGCATGTGAATTGATTAAGGGTATGACCGAGAACTCACAACAGTTTAATACACACGAAGATATCCCGACGAGTAAAGTGAATAAGGTGGAGACTTCATCTATGTTGCAGCAATTGTTTGAATTGACATCTTTTGTTATGCAATTGGTTGTAGGACGCACACCATAGGCCAGGGCATGTGAAATTTATACCAGTGGAGGACACACCACGGACATGTGTCTAACGCTTCAAGAGGAGAGTGTTGAGCAGGTAAATCTGGCTGGTCACGCACCCGCGCCAAGAAAGCAGTATGATCCATATTCTAACATATACAATTCAGGTTCGAAGGATCATCCTAACCTTAACTATGGAGGAAATAGACAGCAAAATTTTATACCGAATAGATAGTAAGGGTACCAGCAACAGTATCAATCCCGACCGCAATCTTTCTCTTCCGATTCGGGTCCTTCTTTGGAAGAGCTGATGAAACAATTAGCTGCAAGCATTATTCAGCATCAGTAAAAGACGGACTCTAACATACAGGAGATACGAAATCAAATTGTTAGATGGCGATATCGATTAATCGTTTGGAATCCTAAGATCAAGGAAAATTACCATCTCAACCCGAAATAAATCCAAAGAATGTAAGCGTCATAACTTTGAGGAGTGGAAGAGAAGTGGAGGGATCTGAACTCGTGTCTCCGAAAGATAAAAGTGAAGATCGGAATGAGAAGGAGCTTGAGGAGGAAGGAATGAGAAGCGCAACTCCAGAGCTAATTCCTAATTCAATGATTAAAGTTCGATCTACTTCACCATCTTTTCCTAACAGGTTGGAGAAGCCAAAAAAACAAGATAAGGAGAAGGAGATTTTAGAAATATTTCATAAGGTAGAAATAATTATCCCCTTGTTGGATGCAATCAAACAAGTACCAAAATATACAAAATTCTTGAAGGACTTGTGCGTCAATAGAAAGAGACTAAAATGAGATGAAAGAGTTATTGTGGGGGAGAACATGTTAACAGTACTTCAAAGGAAACTCCCACCCAAATGCGGAGACCCAGATATGTTTATTATCCCATGTAGGATAGGAAGCACTTTTATTAGAAATGTCATGTTAGATTTAGGAGTATCAATTAATGTTATACCAAAATTCATATATGTTTCTTTAAATCTAGGACCATTGAAAGAAATCGGTATTATAATTCAATTGATGGACCGAACAAATGCATACCCTGATGGACTGATTAAGGATGTTTTAGTTAATATTAATGAATTGGTTTGCCCAACTGGCTTTTATCTCCTAAATATGGATGATGATCATTCCCCAAATCCATCACCTTTGTTATTAGATAGACCATTTTTAAGCACAACTCAAATCAAAATTGATATTAACAAGGGCATTCTATCTATGGAGTTCGATGGAGAAATTGTTCATTTTAACATATTTAAGATCATGAAATATCCCTTTACTTCTAATTCTAATTCTGTTTTTGTTATGAGTATCATTGATCCTGTGGTACAGGAAATTTTTAAAATTAATAGCAGAGATAAGCTAGAGGTAGTAATAACCAAGCACCTTGGATTAGAAATAACTCTTGGTGTGAAATTAAGTGGTGAATTGCAGAATATGGTCGGGGCACTACACTTTCTAGCAACTACAACAATAAGGTATGAACTTGCACCCATTTTCATGCCAGAGTCTCACCAGAAATTATTATCCTCTATTGTGCAGGCACCGATTGTAGAGTTGAAATCCTTACCAGATCAAAGAAGGTTGAACCCGCTTATGATGGAGATAGTAAAGAAAGAAATATTAAATTGCTGGATGTAAGGATTATTTATGCTATATTAGATAGTCCATGGGTAAGTCTAATACAGGAAGTTCTGACAAAAGCTGGGGTGACAGTAGAAGCTAATCAAGAGGGCGAGTTAGTTCCAGTCCGAAAACTCACCGGATAACGGCAGTGTATAGACTATCGCAAGTTCAATACCGTCACAAAAAAAGATCACTTCTCTCTCCTTTTTATTAATCAAATAATTGAACAGTTAGTATGTCGAATTTACTATTATTTTTTAGATGATTTCTAAGGTTACTTTCATATCGCAATTGCACCAGAGGACCAGGAGAAAATCACCTTTATGTACTCATTAAGAACCTTTGCATACAAACAAATGCCTTTCGGGTTATGTAATACCCCTGCGACTTTCTAGAGATGCATGGTAAGTATCTTCTCTGAATATGTAGAGAGAATTATAGAGGTATTTATGGATTACTTTAACATGTATCGTGATAGTTTCGGTAGTTGTCTTGACAATTTGAAACTAATTTTAAGAGAGTGTATAAAAACTAACCTAGTGCTCAACTGAAAAAAGTTATTTTATAATTGAACAAGGAATAGTTTTAGGATATGTAGTGTCATCCAGGGGCATAGAAGTTGATAAAGTTAAGATAGATATTGTTTCTGCTTTACTTTACCCTGCAAGCATGTGGGAAGTGTGTTCTTTTTTTTAGACATGTAGGCTTCTATCACAAATTCATCAAATATTTCTCAATAGAGCATCTCTATTCAGGCTATTGCAAAAGAATGTGATATTTGAGTTCAATGAAGATTGCAAGGAGGCATTCAACAAATTGAAAGAACTCTTGATTTCAACCCCAATTCTTCAACCTCCGGATTGGAGTCTCCTAGTTGAGATCATATGTGATGCTAGTGACCATGCAATGGGAGCAGTGTTGAGGCAGAGAATAGGAAAAACAACCCACACCATTTACTATGCATCAGGGACTTTGAATGGATCTCAACTGAATTACTCCACCATAGAGAAAGAATTTTTAGCAGTTGTCTTTGCTTTAGAGAAATTTATGTCGTATGTACTAGGAGTTACAGTCGTTGTATATTCTGATCATGCAATTCTGAGATATTTGTTGAAGAAAAAGACGCGAAGCCAAGACTAATGAGATGGATATTGTTTCTACAAGAGTTCGACTCAGAGATCAAGGATAAAAGATGATCGAAAAATTTAGTAGCTGATCATCTGATCCGCATACCAGTTGAAGAGGAGAATGTTTCATTGAGAGATACTTTCCCCGATAAACAATTATTTTTTCTAAATTCTAAATTGTCTTGGTATGTTGATTTAGTCAATTACCTAATAACTGACAAATTTTCTGCAAGTTGGCCTAAACCGAAGAGGGACAAACTAAGAAATGACATCAAATACTTCATATGAGACGATCCGTAACTGTGGAAGTATTGTACGGATCAAATAATGCGAAGGTGTGTAAGTAAAAATGAATACTATTTGATTCTAATTTTTTGTCACTCTTTCCCTTGTGGAGATCACTTTAAACCAAAGAGAATGACTCGTAAGGTGTTAGAGAGCGGGTTCTACTGAGTTTCACTGTTTAAAGATGCCTACATAAGTCTTGTAACAAATGTCAAAAAATAGATAACATTTTCCATAGAGATCAAATGTCTCAAACTTTCATGTTTTTTGTTGAAATTTTTTATAGTTGGGGGATCGACTTTATAGGTCCTTTTCCCACGTCATTTGGTTTTCTCTATATAATATTGATTGTTGATTATGTTTCCAAATGAATAGAAGCTAAAGTCACCCATACTAACTATTTGAGAGTGGTATCAAATTTTATCAAGTCCAATATTTTTGTACGTTTTGGAATGTCAAGAGCCATTGTTAGCGACAGTGAAATACACTTCTGTAACAAAACGATAGCTGCATTATTCTGAAAGTATGGTGTCATTCATAAAATCTCGGCATCGTATTATTCACAGACTAATGGCTAGGCAGAGGTCTCAAATAGGGAAATAAAATCTATCTTGGAGAAAATGGTGTGCCCCGATACAAAGGATTGTAGTCAAAGGTTGGAGAACACGCCTTGGACCTATCGGATAACATACAAGACACCTATAAAGATGTCTTCTTATCAATTGGTATTTGAAAAACCATGCCACCAGCCAGTGGAGTTCGAACACAGAACGTTTTGGGCAATAAAGCTGTGCAATATGGATTTAGCAGAGGTTGGAGTTCATTGGAATTTGGAATTACAAGAGTTAGAAGAAATTCGAAACGATACCTATGAGAACGCGAAAATCTATAAGGAGAAAATAAAGTTTTTCATGATTAGCAAATTTCTAAAAAAATCTTTGTCGTTGGCCAGAAAGTTCTTCTCTACCAATTGAGATTTAAGTTATTTCCAAGTAAATTACGTTCTCATTGGATTGGTTCTTTTCTTGTTACTAATATCTTCTATTATGGTGCAAAAGAAATACAAAATTTAAAGATCGAGAAAAAATTTGTTGTCAATAGACACCTTCTCAAACTTTATTATGAAAGATTTTTAGTAGAAAAGGTAGAGATGATGCACCTTGAAAATCCATCTCATGAGCATTAAGCACGATTGACAATGTCTAGTCAAAGATATTAAAGAAAAACACTTCTTGGGAGGCAACCCAATTCATTTTAGTTGTTTGTTAAATTATATTATCTGTTTCAATATGTTTCTCTTAAAATTTTCACAATTTTTTTGTTTAATTTTCTACTGTTGATGATTAGTAAACGTTCTCTTGACATGACATGCTCACATCAACAGGGCACGTGATAATGTGCAAATTCTCAAGTTCTTCGTCAGAAGGGTTCCTACCATCATGATGTACCTACGCCAACTCGCCTGGATAGCTCCCACCTCGATTTTGGAGCAGATTGACTGATATAACATGTCCGCGTCTAGAGGGTACTGGTAACTTTCAATTCAACAAGTTCATTGTTAGAAGGGTTCCTACCCTCAAGACGTGCCCAAGTCATGTCCTAGGGAAGGGTAAGTAAAAAAAAAAGTTCAAAAACACTTTTCTTTTCTTTTCTTTTTCTTTTTCCCTTTTCTCTCCTTTCGGCTGAA